GTAACTGTTATTGTTAGGTTTGGACAAAAGCTTAATGTTCCTGAGGGCTCAGCCCTCCCCTGCATGAGAGAGTAACTTTCAGAGGAACTCAGACAGCAACCTGTTCAGTTATGCTTGGCCCCGTTCCCTGCCTGCCTGAGAGCCTGTTCCTAACGCTCAGTAACTGTCTATCGGCCCAGAAAAACCGCCCGAGTGCCAGAAAGTTCCCTGCCTGTGAAGTCTAGCACGTAGGGCGCTCCCATCTTCTACCCTGACAATCGCCACTTTGAAGATAAGCGGGAGCAGCAAAATGCTTTAGAAACAATGACCCCTTCCCCTCCCCGGCCCTTTGTAAACTTCGTCAAAGGTTTCCGCCTGTGAAACTTCCAGGGAATAGTTAACCAAGAAGGTTGATTAGCGCTTATCTTAGCTTCTGTCTGCTGCTTCCATCGTCCTCCCCCCTCCCGCCCCCCTTAGCCAAATAGAATGTGGGTTTTGCCTTTATAGTCCCCCTGCGAAGACTGTTGGGGGCTGCGAGTTTTGTTTTGGGCAGGAGCCTGCTCACAGTCCCGGGCTAATAAATCTCCAAACGGTCAATTTGGTCTCTGCTTGAGTTCATCTTGCGTGAGGCGGTTCCGACACCTACACCCTACAGAGCCTGCCTCCCAACCTCTGGAGCTCAGCTCATCCGAATCCAGGTGCTTTAGCCACCCGGATGCAGGTGTCCTCATAAAATTGCCTTTACCCTTCTCATCGGGCCTCGTGTTGCTCCATTTGGTGGTGATTTTTTGCCAAGTCTTTTTTTTTTTTTTTTTTTTATNTTCTCATCGGGCCTCGTGTTGCTCCATTTGGTGGTGATTTTTTGCCAAGTCTTTTTTTTTTTTTTTTTTAATATATCTTTATTGATTTCAGAGAGAGAAAGGGAGAGGGGGAGAGAGAGAGAGAAACATCAATGATGAGAGAGTCATTGATCGGCTGCTTCCTGCACACCCCAGACTGGGGATTGAGCCCCCAACCCGGGCATGTGCCCTGACCAGGAATCGAACCTTGATCTCCTGGATCCTAGGTCAGTGCTCTGCCTTTGAGCCACACCTGGCTGGGCAGGTGAATCTTTTTTTTTGTAGACCCATAGGAAATCTATGATACTGTGTGTCTCTCTGTGTGGTTCTTACATAAATTGTTTCACGTGCTATCATTCTGCAACCTGCTTCTGGCATTTTCCAGTAGGTGGAGACTTTTTTCTCTCACTGCTCCAAGTAGTCCACAGTTCAGATGTACCAGGTTTTATTTAACCGCTCTCCAGTGCATAGATATTTAGATTGTTTTAAATTTTTCATGATGAGAGAATGTTGCCGTGATCACCTCTGTACACCATGTACGCTGGGCCGGAGGTTTCTGGGGCAGACGACGCAGAGACGTGAGTGCTTTCAGAAAAGCTGCACTGATTTGGTCTCCCTCAAGAAGACATGGCTGGGTGCAAGCTTTGAAAGGAGCAGCAGGGCCCTCACCTACCTGGACACACTTGGTCTCTGAGGGATGGAAGGCCTAGGCTGGGAGGGAGCTCCTCTGAGAGGGTGATCCGAGTCTCCAGGCACCTCCTTCACCCTTAAAGCCCAACCCCTCCCCCAAAAGCTTTCTTAGACCATCGGCTGCATTTCATAAGAGTGAACACCAGAGGGCACCACGCACCAAAGGAAAGTGACCGTGACTGTGAGAAGCTGCCTTGGAGGAAGCCCTTTCCCAGCTACTCCAAGGCGGAGAGAAGAGATCTCTCTTGGCTTCCTTGATGTCTTCCTTCCCTGACCTCCTGCAGCTTGTGGGGGTCAGGAGGTGGAGGGGAGAGCATCAGATGTGCCCATAGGAAGCTCTGGGGATTGGAGAGGCATGTCGGGGGGGCCAAGGCAGTGCACAGCATCGTGGTAAGAGCCCTGGGCTGCAGCTTCCCTGTTTGGACCAATTACATCACTGTGCTGAGCCACGATTTTTCTCATCTGTCAAATGGGGGTGACAATTCCTTGCCCTTCTTTACCATGTGTGTGTGTGTGTGTGTGTGTGTGTGTGTGTGTTACATGCAAAAGGACTTTGAAAACCAGGCACATCTACGGACCCTGCTTGCAGCATGGAGCCTAGACGTGGAGGGAAGGGCATCTATAGCCAGGCTGGTTAGGTGGTTGCTGCGTCAGTCCGGGGAAGCTGACGGTGGTGGCAGCGGGGGAGGTGATGAGCAGTAGCTGGATTCTGGATATATTTCAAAGGTAGGACCAATGAGATTTGTTGAAATATTGCACGTGGGGGGTGAGAGGAAGAGGGGCTGAAGGGTGATACCAAGGCTTTAGGCTTGAGCGAACAGAGGCCAGTGATGCCTTGTGCTTAGCTGGGGAAGACGGCAGGAGCACAGCTTGGGAAGCGTTCATATTTGGACATGAGAAGTTGGAGGTGCCTTTTAGGTCACTGAGTGAGT